AGAGATGAAAGAAAGAAAGAAAGAAAGAAAGAAAGAAAGAAAGAAAGAAAGAAAGAAAGAAAGAAAGAATTAATTCTTTCTTTCTTTATTGGCCAAGTGTGATTGGACATACAAGGAATTTGTCTTGGTGCAAATGCTCTCAGTGTACATAAAAGGAAAGATACATTCGTCAAGAGTCAAGAATCATCAGGTACAACACTTAATGATAGTCATCGGGTACAATAAGCAATCAAATCATACTAGGAAACAGTCAATATAAATCGTAAGGATACAAGCGTCAAAGTTACAGTCATACGTGGGAGGAGATGGGTGAAAGGAAGGATGGGAGGACTAATAGTGATAGTAGTGCAGACTTTGTAAATAGTTGGACAGTGTTGAGGGAATTATTTGCTTAGCAGAGTGATGGCGTTGGGGAAAAAACTGTCCTTGTGTCCAGTTGTTCTGGTGTGCAGGGCTCTATAGCGTCGTTTTGAGGGTAGGAGTTGAAACAGTTTCTGTCCGGGATGTGAGGGGTCTGTAGATATTTTCACAGCCCTCTTTTTGACTCGTGCAGGATACAGGTCCTCCATGGAAGGCAGGTTGGTAGCCATCATTTTTTCTGCAATCCTAATTACCCTCTGAAGTCTGTGCCTGTCCTGTTAGGTTGCAGAGCCAAACCAGACTGTTATAGAGGTGCAGATGACAAGAGTCAATCCTTCCTCTGTAGAACCGGATCGGCAGCTCCTTGGAGCTTCCTGAGTTGGCGCAGAAAGAACCTTCTTTTTTGACGACGTAACCAAGTTCTTTCCTTGTGTGCTGCCTCAGGTGCTGGCCCTCCCACGCAGAAGCCTCCACCACCTGCGGGAGCACCCTCCGTCTTCGTAGCCACCGCCGTTCACGCCTATCGGTTGTAAGTCTTGTCTTGACTGGAAGTGCTTCTTCCTTGTAAGGGAATGTTTGCCTTATGGGTTTTCTGTCCTGGGGGAGGAGGGTTCAGAGGACGCCGAGGCCTCCATCATGCAACCCCGAGCTAGAGAGAGTCTAGGATGCAACAGTAGGGTTGGAAGGGGCCTCGGAGGTCTCCTAGTGATAATTAGAAGTTTATATGTAAAGGTACCAGAAGCTGAGAGGCTCTTCCTGTCTCCTTCCAGCACAAATGGGACCTACGTGAAACAAGGCAAATATGGAGCAGCTGTAGTGGGATGCCACACCACCCAGGAGGTAAGAGGTGGGATTAATGCTTTCCTTTGCATCCTGCTTTGCGTCCGTTCCATCTCCTTCCCTCCCTCCCTCCCTTCCTTTCCTCCCCATCTCCGTCCCATCTGCTTCCTTCCTTCCTTCCCTCCCTCCCTCCCTTCCTCTCATTCCAAACTTCCTTCCTTCCTTCCCTCCCTCCCTCCCTCCCTCTCATTCCCAACTTCCTTCTGTCCTTCCTTCCTTCCTTCCCTCTCTCCCTCCTTCCCTCCCCATCTCCGTCCCATCTCCTTCCTTCCTTCCTTCCTTCCTTCCTTCCTTCCTTCCTTCCTTCCTTCCTTCCTTCCTTCTGTCCCTTCCTTCCTTTTGTCCCTTCCTTCCTTTCCCTTCCCTTCCCTTTCCTTCCTCTCTCCCTCCTTCCCTCCCTCCCCCCTTGGTTGAACCATAAGCCTTTCGAAACCTGACCGTAGTTAATGGCTCATAATCAGACTCAAGGTGAGAACTGCTCCTGTGCCCTTCAAACATTCTACCTTGACAGATATTGCTCCTATATCTTTTTATTTGACTACACCTGCGGCTCCATGTGAAAGCTACTGACCGAAGCTTAATCCTGGTTTATTGAGTCAGTCCCGGTTGGCCGGATTCATGTCAGGCAATAAGCCAGAGCCAGGCTTTCAACTTTAAGTGATAGGTTTTACATTACACTTTAAACCTGAATTAAATACGGCCTTTTCCATATGAACGTAGTTGCTGCGTCTGCTCCAGTCTCTGAACATCCCTTGTTTTTTTTTCTCCCTCTCCTTCCTCTTTTCCGTGGTGTATGGAATCCAGTACAGGATCTTGCTTTATATCAACCAGCAGCAACAGATCACCAGTGCAAGAATCCACCCAGGCTTTGTATTCACGGTAAGCCTTGGTGGTTAAACGTCGGGAGAAACTTTGACATCGATCTGGAAGCATGTCTGAAGTCCTGGGTTGATTAACAGCAAAGATTAAGGGATCGAGTGAATTAGCAGCAAAGATTCTGGCCCCATTTGTAAACGAAGTTCCTACGGTTTTTCACTTTATATACTATATACCAACCAGAACTGATGCGTGTTCTTTTTATTGTTTATCTAGATCCAACCCAACAACTATGGGACATTTTACGATGATCAGAGGCAAAACTGGTCCCTCATGTTTGAATCTGAGAAAGCGGCAGTGGAGTTCAGCAAGCAGGTGCCCACCGTGTGCCCAGAGCTAGTCCTACCCTTGGGCAAAATGAGACGGCTGTTTTGAGTGGCTACCCTGTCCTTCTTTATCTATCCTTGTCTTCCTTCCCTTCCTCCCCATCTCCATCCCACCTGCTACCTCTCTCCTTCCTTCCTTCCTTCCTTCCTTCCTTCCTTCCTTCCTTCCTTCCTTCCTTCCTTCCTTCCTTCCTTCCTTCCTCTCATTCCCATCCCTTCCCTTCCTCTATCTCCCTCCCATCTCCTTCCTTCCTTCCTTCCTTCCTTCCTTCCTTCCTTCCTTCCTTCCTCTCATTCCCATCTCCCTCCCTCCTTTTCTCCCTCCCATCTCCCTCCTCCCTCCCTCCCT